GGGGGCTGTTGTAGGGGGGGTGTCGGGGACTGTGCAGGCAGGGCCGAGGGCTATGGCAGGGGCTGTTGCTGGGGCAGTGTTGGGGGCGGTGCCGGGGGTTTCTTCTGCTTGTCGGTGTTTTGTTGATGCTGCTTTTGCGCCGGATAGTGGTAGGGTTGCTTTCGGGTGTGCTCTATTTTCTCCGACTAACTGTTTTCTTGCTGCTATTAATGGGGAATTACTATGTTCTCCGGACCCTCTTATGGCGGAGGCTATGGCGTGTCGTGAGGCTCTATCATGGATCAAGATGCTTGATATTCATAACGTGGAGATCTTGATGGATTGTCAACGTGTGGTTTCGGCAATTTCAGATACTTCATTCTCTCTTACTTCTTATTTTGGTTCGTTAATTTTTGACTGTAAGGCCTTGTTGGTCGGTTTTTGCTCTAGTTCTATCAGTTTTGTTCGTAGAGAGTTAAACGTTGTTGCTCATTCTCTTGCGAGGAGAGCAGAGGCCCGTCGTTCTGTTTGGGTTTCTACTCCCCCGAATTTTGTAATCCCTCTTTTACGATAATGAAGTTTCTTTACTTTCAAAAAAAACACACAATCATTCTTTTCTCTCTATGAACAAGATAAAAGAAAAACAATTTTTTTTATATAAAATTTGAGAATTGAATTCTCCTAAATTTGACAAGTGGAAAGTGGCAAGCTACTTAGTAATTTTTGTACACGAGGTCCACCGCATTTGATAACTTAAGTAACTTGGAAATTTTAAATTAAAATATGAAAAGATCTCATTAGAGCAAATATTCATTTCCAATTCTTTACTACTCCGTATAATATTTGAAATTCATATGTCCAAAAATTGACATGTGTCATCTTACATGACAATTTTTAAATTACATGACACATGATTAAATTAAATGGCATATCTTAAATGTTCATTCATCATTTATGGAAAATTATTTATGATAACCTTTAGAATATGATGAGTTTAAAAAATATATTTTATATTCAAAAATTATGACTTTTAATTTATTAAAATTTATGTAAATGAAATAAATGTTATAATTTTTCAACAAAAAATAAATAAATTATTCCTAAAAACGAATCTAATCATGATTAGTCCATGTATTTTTTTCATAAAAACGACAATGATATTAAAAGTTTTTTAAGTAAAATATAGTTTTTTAAAAAGTAATTTCTATAATTGGTCTTTTATAACAGAGGGATTTCTATATTTAGTCCTCTATTATCACATATTATTTCCATAGTCCTTTTTTTAATGATATCTTTCCATAAATGGTTCTTTTTTGATCTTCTGCTATGTTGGTGTTAATTTAAAGGAAAAAAGTATACTTTGACATCAATATTATATCTAGTGACATGTTCTAATTTTGGTTAAGCAGATAACACAAAAATAATAAATGTGATTGTGGGCTAAGATTTTGATAAAGACCATATTTGTATATTATGGTTGTAGTTCAAAGCAACTGTAATTCACAAACGATGCAAACGGAACAACTTTTGAAATTGTGTATAACAAAAAAGATAAATTATCATTGTGAAATTACACTTTTAGCTTTTCAATTAACACCAACATGATAGAAGATTAAAAAAGACTATTTGTGGAAAGATACTCATAAAAGAAAGACCACTAGGGTAATATTTGATAATAGATAACTAAAAAAGATAAATTATCATTGTGAAATTATACTTTTTGCTCTTCAATTAACACCAACATGCGCAAAGATCGTCATTGCAGAGTTAGTTTCATGGATCATGTAATCATCATCAAGATTAATTATATTGATTATATGTGTCATCATGTAATCATCATCAAGATCGATCATATTAATTATACATTTTATTAAGTACCCATCATCATGAATAATCATATTGATCATATGCTATAAATCTATAATGTGGAATATCATCAATCTTTTATCCTTTATATTCTTTATATATAACATTTGAGAGTTGAACTCTCAGAATTGCGACATTTGGCGTGCTGACTGGATCTTTTTTGACACTTCATCAGCCACGTCATCAAAATCAACTTCCTCAATATTCCAAACGGGTTGGGCTTCTAGAATTGTGACATGTGGCGTGCTTATTAGACAACTTTTTTAACATATCAGCATGTCATGTTAGCAAATAATGTTTAAAAAATAGTTAACAAAAAAACTTATTATGCGGAAATTAAATTTCATATTTGTTACACATAAATTTCTCCATATAATCGCGTTTAAAAACTTTTATATTTTCATTCATTATTGGAAAATATTTAAATTAAATAGTATACTTTGAAATTTGAAAAAACCACCTATTCAAAAACTATAATCAAAACAAATAAATTTACTTTAAGAACGGATAGATTGGTAGGACTAAACAAAATTACATTTGATTTTTTTGCTTTGAATTAATAGTATTTGGAGAGATTTTCTAATTATTTAAAAAAAGAAACAAATATATAAAAGGAAATGGATTTTTATGGGCATGCTTATTTAATAGAGCATTAATTTTATTTCGTATATATAAAAAATTCTAAATCAAATAAAAAGTATGTTCCATTTTAAAATTAGTATTTTCCATTTTAAAATTATTGTTTTCCATGTATAGCTTTGTAAAAATTTACATGTAACAAAAAATATCATTTCCATTTATAACTTTGTAAAATGATCAAGACTTGATAAGTGAGTATTTATGTGTAAGAAATTAAATATTAATTGGTGTTCCTAATCGAAATATTTATGGTATAATATTAATTGTTATAAATGTAATTACTTTTATATTTAATTCTTAAAAAATTTGCTAATTATTTTGACATCTATGTCAAAATAATATAAGTAAGTAATATTCTTTCTCATTTATTCATTGAACCATCTACATCAATGTAACAAATATTAGTGGATAATAAAAAAATATATTTAAAGTTTTTAGATAAAAATTATGATATTTATTTTATGATGCTTATTACAAATACAGAAGGGGAGTGATCATCATCGGTTATAAACTCGCATCATCGAACACGTTCGAGAAAGAATATACTTTGCAAACACGTTCCAGTACATATTTCCCAAAAAATCATTTATAATTTTCCAACCACGAAACAATTATACACACGCTTCATCGCGCTTTTAAGTGCATAAGAAACAGAAGAGAATTGATTTATGTTTACAACCCATTCTACTAATTTTTTTGAATATGATAGTACAACTATTGTCTTTTTGTATAAATCATTATAAACAATGTAAGAAAATAGATATGGTGGACACACTCGATATATTTTAAATTTAAATGGCAAGGTAGAAGGTTCATATGTTTAAGATACATTAGTGGAATCAATTTTAGATGATCATGTATTTAGAGAAATAAAAATTAAAAATATGTTTATTAGATTATATATGCAACATGTAAGTTGTGTAGAATGCTATATATATATATATATATATATATATATATATATATATATAAGACTGCATACATCATATTTTATTTTTCTTTCAGATACAATCTATTTTGGGAATCTTGCATTTATGTGTGAATTTCGGGAAACTTTGTTATGACGTGAACTATGAAGAAAGAATCAAATGAATAAAGATTCAAAACAACTAAAGTTTTCAATTTATTGCATAAAAGAAAAAGTTTAATTGTCTCTTCTAAGGAAAACCATCTGATTTGCTCTATAATTTATTTTATGGTCTTGGTGTGAAGAGTTCTCATTACCATGAAAAACTTAAATAAATACAACTGTATGTTTTCATTAACATTTATAAATGGAAATATTGATACATCTCACAATAATGGTTGAGCAATAATGTACTCTCAGCGAACACATTCATCATCACATACCANAATCAAATGAATAAAGATTCAAAACAACTAAAGTTTTCAATTTATTGCATAAAAGAAAAAGTTTAATTGTCTCTTCTAAGGAAAACCATCTGATTTGCTCTATAATTTATTTTATGGTCTTGGTGTGAAGAGTTCTCATTACCATGAAAAACTTAAATAAATACAACTGTATGTTTTCATTAACATTTATAAATGGAAATATTGATACATCTCACAATAATGGTTGAGCAATAATGTACTCTCAGCGAACACATTCATCATCACATACCATGTTTAATGTCACAACATGGTGAAAGACCGAAATTTACACAATTGTATATTTATGGTACACCATTTTAATAAAAGTACTATTTACATGTGTTTGACAATATAATACACATGAAACATTATTAACATGCTAATAAAAACAAATTGTTCTATTTGTTTCGCACAGTAGGGAGAATAATTCTTTGACTACTGATAAAAGTTTGGTCAAAGATTTGAAAAATATGGTAGATGAGCATAATGTTTTAACACAGATATTTAGAAGAACTAAAGACTTCATGGATAATGAGCATACTTCTAATGTATCATTGAAGCTGTTGAAAAGTAAGACTTCATATATAATGAGCATACTTTTAATGTATCATTAGGTTGTTGACAAAGAAAACTAGAGACTCAAGAAATTATAATATCTCCACAATACATGAAGTTGGTGCTCTAATAGTTAAATATCTTGATTCTTAACACAATTTATTTCTCAAAAATATAGTGAACTTCACTTATTCGAACTTATTGGAGAACATAAAAAACTATTATATTCTTTTTTAAAGATAGTGCACTATTGGCACCCGTGCTCGAACTTGTTGAATGGTAAATGAATTTTTCTTATCTTTTATTCCATGAGGTGAAAAGTACTACTTAATTTCTTTTTCCTCATGCCAACAAGTTTGGAATTAAAAAAGACATTTTTGAGTATATTTTCAATTTCTCAAATATTATTTATTCTACCTTGGTGTTTTTGTCCAATGATAAAAAAATCGTGTTAGAAATACATTTACTTGATCCAAAAAATATATTGCATTAAAAAAATTCAGAATAGACAAAAATTTCGTCGACCCCGTGCATCGCACGGGTGAAAATGCTAGTATATATATAAAGCAGAGTCGAGGCTATAAAAACGTGACATGTGGCAGAGCTAAAGCGCAACATTTGGCGAGCTGATGTGGCGACATGTGGGGTTTGAAACATGGATCTCTTAGTCATTTAGTTGAGTTTCTAACCATCCAAGCTAGGGTGCTTTTTATTAAAATCTCACTTAAGTTTTTATAATGTTTCATAATTAAAAAAGGATTGTATAAAAATTTCTTTTCAGTTATAAAAAATATAATCCTTTAATATAATATTTGAGATGACAAGTCTTTATTGGTTGCTTATGTGACAAATTTTATTAATCATGAATTGACCTTTCTTTTTATTTTAAAATAGAAATTTAATAATGATTTCAAACAATTATGATGTAGCAAACAATTTAATAATGATTTTAAAATAGAAATTTAATAAAACTCATTATGATGTAGCAAACAATTAGTGAAAATATAAAATTGATATTATCACTTACCATTTCAAGACTAGCATTTTTTATGAATCCAATTTTTAACTAAGTGCATACACAAAAAACAAAGTTTTGATAATGATATATTCTCATTTAAAAGTATTCTTATAGAAAAGGATCAAATATGTTTATAATTGATCCTTTATTTGATCAAATTGATATTTTAATCTTTAAGAAGCTGAGATGTGATATTGTTTAAGAGACATTTCTGACACGTAAAATATATTATAGAAAATAAGAAGTTAATACTATTGTATGAAGTCCTTCGGTA